TTGCTATAGTAGATGTACCTTGTGCAGCACATTTGCTCAAGTGTTGAATTTCTCACTATGTCATGGTGACTGTGTATTAGAGCCCAGTTCATTTTAGTTGTGCGTATTGTCTCCAAATGCAATTCATGTCTGTTGGGTCTAAAATTATTCTTCCCCATGGTCAGCCCATGTTGGTCCTCTTTGAGTGCTCCGAAGTCTCACTTGGGATTTAGAAAAGTGTGCTTTCCAGAGAGACTACAGTACATTCTGGTTTTGGGCATGAGTTTAAGGGGGAATCAGTTCTTTACAGTTGCTTCTAGTTAAGTGCCAGGGATATTAACAGTCCCTGAGGAAAACACTGTTTTATATGATATTGTAAATGTGCCTTCCCCATCACAGGCACATATGAGGCTAGCATCCCTGCTCCAAAGAGCTTAATGTCTTTGAGGGGCAAACCAGTAAATCCTTATTACCACACGCAGCGCTGGCTATTTTCTAGAGTCCCATAGATTTCTCAAGCTGGGAGAGTTGTGGCTGAAAGCACCCTTGCAATGACTCTTTGCTTTGAGTACGTACCATTGAGGAGGGGAGGTAAGAAGGTGAAATCAGCCATGAAAATAAAGGATGTGTAGATTTATATATAAACAAGGTTAGTCATGAAGTAGCATATGAACAAACTAATGTGCAACGAGGAAGCATGGTAAACTTAACATGATATTTGACTCTTGTTTAATTAAAAACTACTGTGAAGGCTGCGGAAAGTCAGCGTACATGACTTACCCTGTTCTAATGGGAACTTCATGCAATAATTAAAATTTAAGGAGAGAGCAAAATCTCTCTTGTTACTCTCATGCTGAAGTTGCTGGGTGGACACTTATAAGCACTTGGGAATCCAAACATGAACGTAAAGATTAATAGAACAGAGGTCTAGTTTTTTGTCAGCAAAAAATGGACAACATTTCAACTGTTGCCATTTACTGCACCTTTTTACTTTTCTGTTGATACAGGTTTGCAAATGCCAGATTTGTTTTTAATTAGTACTTGAATGAACATTTCTATTTATAGGTATTAGGATATATTTTAATCGCATCTGAATACCAGTGAAATGTCAGGGGTTCTATAATGGGAAGAGGAATTAATAGGAAGATAGATCAAAGCAATAGCTGTGGTGTTGCTGCTTCATGCCTGTGAATTGTAAGCACCAGGCCACAAGCTTTGGTTTCTCAGGTTTTTCCTTTCTCTCCACTTTCATGCTTTATTTCTTCCTTGTGATGTCATATGAAAGTACACAAGCAATCTGTCAGAATTTTTTCTTTAAAAAAAAAAAAAATTACGGCCTCAGTGAAAGGAGCATAATCTCCATTTTATTTTACAAGGTGAAGCCAAGGGCTTAGCAGATGTTGAGAAGTACGACTAAGATAACATTACCATTAGCATTTTACCAGTCATCAGATGCCAGACACCTACAGTCCTTTAAAGGGAACGTTAGCTTACACGCCCTCACGTACCTGAGGGAAGGACTTTTCATGCCTCTTTCTCCAATATGTGCACAGGGGATTTTTCTTGTCGAGGCCCAGGGACAAGGAACCGCAGTCCAAGCCTATAGCTGAGCTGTTCTTGTCTAGATTTGATTTGTGAAAACATTAATCACTTACTGTGATCCCGTTGTGTTACTGGAGTTCAAATGTTCTCAGTAACTAAACGTCAGCAATGGATCATTAAAAATACAAGCACAAAAAAATTGCAGGCAGGCAAATCAGAGAAGAAAACTGTCAACGTCAGAGGTTTTATACAGGGATTTTTCTAAGTAACATTGTCAGCTGTGTTCCATTCAGCAACAGAAAGTTAAGAAATAAGAACTTGTTTTCTTATTTTTGGCAAGTAGCATTTAAATTCACGTTTATCTTCTGGTAGGGATTAGCAATGATATGGCCAGTAGTATGTGAGAGCGGTACACAAAGAAATATGTTTTTTTGTATTTTAAACAAAGTTTGGTGTTAAAAATTGTGCATAAAATCTTGTCTGCATGCTCGGGAGTTGGAAGGCTTTCCCTGTATGTACTCTAGGTAGCTAAAAGGCCTGCTTACAGCATCAGAGGGAATATAAAGAATAGTGTGTATATGTGCTGCTGAGTACTCTTGTGAGGGCAAGAATGTTCCACACTTTGTAGTGCTTATGTGGAAAAAGTAAAGGATTTGGATAATCTTGCCTCATCAGATAAGTGTGTTCGGAGGAGTAAAGGGGACAATTGCCCGGTGGATTTTACTGTTGGGATGGAAGCAGGAGTGAACCTCCCCCAACCTCTGCCCGTTTTGAAGGACTGGAATGTTCTGTATGGACACTTCAGTCCCGTAGCACACTGGCTTTGAAGCACCACACTGAAGCTAGCACTTGGAAAGTACTGGGGAAAAGCTGCTGAAGGTTGCTTGAGCCTGCTTGACTGGAAGTGAGATATATGTGCATTGGGCTTGTTTTGTTTTTGAGTTACTTTACAGTTCACTCATCAAGAAGCCTGTGTAACACAGCTCACTAACTCAAGTTTCACAAATGCTGCAAGAGAGCTTGTTATTGGGCATTGTTTTGTCCTACACAAGTACAGCACGGGAAGTCCTGGTCCATGTTTCTTAAAGCTTTTATATCTGTATTTCTGAAGCATCTTTATTTTGACTTTGAAGTTCAGTGCACTTGTAAAATGGCGTGCTCCTGGCGGTGTCTGCACTTGGCCACGGCAACCTGGAGGTCTGTCTTCAGTGAAGGTTGCCAACAGCACTATTTGGTACCCCTGACCAGTTGTTACCACATGCACATCCAGTCGTACCAACATAAGGGCACACCGTACTTCAGAAAGCAGAGGAGGGTTTGCAGCAGGTTGTCTGCCTTGTTTTGATTTCTTTGTAGCAGCCAGGAGAGGAGAGAGGTGTGAGTCTATTGCTCTCTCTTCAAGGAGTGCTCAAGCCGTCTCCTTCCTGGGATCTCCTCCGCAACTCAACATAGTCCGTCCTCTCTCAAAGGAGGTCTCACCGCAGATATGAGGCTTCAGAGGAGGGTAGCAGGACAGTGGTAGCCTCTCCCTTCTGAGACAGACACTGATTTGAATGCTTCAGTTAAAAAAAAAATCAGAGGTTAGGTAACATATTTCTGATTCATAATGCATAACACATCTCCGATAGCAGCCTTTAAGCTGCGAGAGCCAGAATTAAGATACTGATGGCGTAATCACATTTCAAACTGGTCTGCCCGCAGCCTTGGATGCTACAACAGGCTTGTAGAGCATCTGCCTAATTGCAGAATTTGTGATTCCCTCCTATTTTTTCTCAGTCCACTTCTATAACAAATCATGATTTCATTTTCCATTTACTGTTCAAACCTTGGAACATCTGAGAAGGCACAAAACTACAAGTTTGTTTTCCAGAGATTAAATTCAGTGATGTTAATTATTTCAGTTGAGCATATCTAATATAGCTTTAAACAACAACTTGAAGGCAATGAAGGTTTCAAAGTTTAAAGCCATTTTTCCATCACCTCGTAGTGCCTTGAGCCCATCATGGCTCAGACCTTGTCAGACAAGTGGGCGGCAATTGCATGGAAGAATGATTGTGTCCTCAGTTTTCTCTTCCTCTTCCCTATTTTCTTGCTGTGCTGCTTCCTGGTACATAGTAAGATAGCTCATAGACAGGCCACATCTCCATGACATACCACGTCCTGTGTCCAAGAGAAGCGTTATAGAAGCTGGCTGCAGTTTGAAGATGACAAAGTCCAGCTGGAAGTTCAGCTGACTGGGGAGAACTGGGATATGCAGCTACAGTTGCCATCAGACAGTGAAGTAGGATCGCAGAATTGAAGGTGGGTCTGGGGTTGGTTTTGTTTTGTTTCTTTCTGAGGTGGTTGTTTTATGCAGATATTTAATTTATTCAATATCTAGCATCTGGCAGAACATGGAGAGTTGGTCTACATGGAAAGTTTCTGGTTGCGAGTGTTTTTTTAAGTCTGCCTAACCCTGATGACACCTGTTTTGATATGACTATGCAAGCTTATCTTGTTTGAGCATCAGCTGTTCAGGACTTTCATTTAAAAAAATTGGAATCAATTAGTTACCAATATCTAACGACAACACTGGCGCTCTGGATAACACTCAGTGACTCTTTTAGCTAGAAGAAACCTGTGATTATTTCCATTACTTCTGTTCTAACATCTTTATTTCGTCAGGGAGAGGCCTGTAGTGTGTGTGTACACAAGATCACAGGACGACTGAGTAGCCTGCTGAATAGCAAAAAAGGTGACAGGGAAAAGATCACGGAGGCCATAGGAGAAGGGCAGGCAGCGTGTGACACTTTCAGTCCTGT